TCATCAAATAACATTCAGCAAATTTTGGACAATTCGATTCCAAAAATTTCTTCTTATGTCCAAAATTTAAGAAAGTTGTGTGTGGAGGGTTGTGGTAATTTGAAAAATCTATTGACATCCTCCATGGTTGAGAGTTTTGAGCAATTAAATTGGCTTGAGATTCGGGATTGTCATATGATGGAAGAGATAATACTTGCAGAAGAATCAATGGTTGAGGAAAGGATGTGCAAGATTTTCTTCCCTAACCTTGCGTTCCTATTGCTCCAAGACCTTCCAAAACTCACAAGATTTTGTTCTGGAAATTACTTGGTATTACCATGCCTTTGGAAACTTAAGATAAGCAAGTGCCTTGCGCTGAAGACTTTCATCTCTAGCTTTATCTTTGGAGACATGATAGCTAGTTCTGAAAATGTCAAAAACACTTGTACACTTTCTCTTTTTGACGCAAAGGTGATTTCTCTCTTTTTGTCCCCCTTATTTGTTACTTTTTAGTGTCTTATAATGCTATTATTATTTTCTCATCCTCATGAAGTTTTACATTTTAAAAAAATTAGATTCCATTATTTTTCATTCCATTTCATCTATGGTTATGTTTAATTTTAATTGAATTGTATAAATCTTTAGGTGGTATTCCCCAAATTAGAACGTTTGGTTATTGAACATGTGAAGAGTTTGAATAAGATATGGAATGACCAACTCGAAGTAGATTCTTTTTGCCAGCTAACTTTGGTGAGTGTGGTTTCATGTGAAAAGTTAATGAATATTTTCCCATTTAGTATGGTGGAAAGGCTTCAGAGACTAGACAAGCTCCAAATACAGAACTGTGATTCACTTGAAGAGATACTTGAGTCTCCAGAACTTGGTGTTAGCCGATCACAGGCTCAAAAGGCCATTACGCTACCTTTGTTGGAAATCGTCACATGCTTGGAGGACGGTGTGAAGGATGGGATTGTCTTTAGCAAACTCAAGTATTTGCAACTTTGTGGTGTGCCTAGACTTTCAAGCTTTTGCTCGGTTAAATGCAAGTTTGAGTTCCCATTTTTGAAAGAGGTGATTTTGATGGATTGTCCAAGTATGCAGACTTTCTCTATGGATGAAATAAGAACAACAAGACTGCAGAAAGTAAAATTGGCTGGAGATGAAGATAAAGACTTTTGGGATGGCAACCTAAACTCAACCATACAACTACAGTTCATGCAAAAGGTATGCATTAATTTAAAACATCTCCTTAGGTTTTTCTTCTTTTAAGTTCTATCTATTTCTCTTTTCCTTTGTTACACAAATATTCATTTAGTCTTTAAAATAATAGGAAAAACTAGAAAGGTATGTATGAATGCTTAATAGATCATGATTTTGCAAAGGAAAATGTTTGCTAAAATTTTTCATTTCACCTTCAGTACTGTGTTGTTATGTCTGCAGGGTCAAGGTGATTCTAAAAATTGAGATCAAAGAAATTGTGGCTTATGTCCTTTCCAAGTGAAATTTGATGGTGAGTTGGTCTTTTGCTTCCATCATCTCTACACTTGTTTGTTAAAGGTACATCTATTGTAAAACATGCATGGAGGTACATTGAAGCTGCTTTCTTAATTCGTTGTAGGTCTGAGTGGCGTATGCGTAAGTTGGATGTGAAGTTGTCACGTTGCTTGGTGCCGAGAATGTTACCTCACTAAACTAAACTGATACCTTTTTTCTACCAAAAAAAAAAAAGGACACCTTTTCTATTTCTTGTACACTTGTGCAACTTGTGAAATGTATTATCAAATTCATGCCAAGCCTTTAAATTCATGTGTTATTTTAAAGAGAGAATATCCTTCAAGAAAACAAATATTGCTTCTTTATATTTACTTGTATGATAAAAGTACATTTCTTATATATGGAACTTTATATATTGAGAGGCTGCTTTCGTAATTCCTGTTAGGTTTGAATGGTACACTTATAAGTCATAAGTTAAATGTAAACTTTGCAAAGTTGCAATATTGTTTGACACACAAAATTAAATTGTCTGTTGTTAATGGTGTTCTAAAGAGCGAGAAAGAGTATTCATAAGACAAATGTTACTTGACGATTGTCAATTGGGTTTTGGTGTACTTTGTTTTTAATTTGAAAATGGTTTGTTTATTTTGATGGGTTTGCTGTATTCTTTTCCTTTACACACAAAGCAAACCATAATTTTAGATATAAATTTTTAGCCTTCACATGCACAAAAGGTTTTGGTGCCTCACACGTTTTTCCTTTTTCTTTTGTGATACATGGTACCCATAGAGATCCACACTTTTTCAATTTGTGTGATAATAGGCCATACAAGATGAGACAGATTGAGCCACTTTGTGCATTGGAGATGTTCATTGGATAATTAGAGCACACTCCTTTCTTCATAGATGATTCTTTAAGTGATATTTGGTATAGATGATTCTTTCAAGTGATGATGTTCAGTGTCAACGGATAAGCTGACACTCCCTGCAGTTTCCCATTTGACTTTTGGATGCAATTTGATCTAATGCTTCTTACACAGCAAATGATTGAGAATTACAAAAATTTTTCTTTTCAAACAAAATTCTTCATGCATATCAATTCACACCCGACTAAATGAAATCTTGTATGATTACCATTAGATGGGACTGAATCTAGATATAATTGTGTCAATCATGTTTCCAGCATCCTCAAATTTCTTGCCAACTTAATATCAAGCCGTCAAAAGCAGAAAATAAAATTCAACCTCATTATATATTAATTCTCCTTTTAGATACTAATTAAACTGAAAATTTGCCAACATGGAAATTGGAATTGTAAATTCGAGCAAACTTACATCTCCAATGATCCCAAATACCAAACACAAATCACCAAGTACCAAATACCCTCTTAACCATCAGCCATATGGTCAAGTGGTAGAGTAACTTGTTACCCTTAGCCACAAAGTCTAGGGTTCAATCCCTAGTCTCCAAATACTAAAAAACAACAAACATCCTCTTAAACATGTTGATACAACCACATGACAAACTGTCAAATTAATTAGGAATGCTACTCCCCCATATAAGTCGGCTTACCTAAGCAAGAACAGTTTCATATTCATTTTCTTCTTCGCAGCATCTAGTATCAGTCATGCCTGATTAAAAACATAAGCTCAAGAATAATCCTTATCAGCACAGAAAACTTTAAAAGCTTCAGGCACAAAACAAAAAGTAAGAAATATAAGGAAGGCAAATATCTATCACTTGGTTTTGAGGTCAAGATCAAGATTCAAATCCAAGCAATAGCTAACAAGTCATCATATAATAAGGTACTTAAGGAACGCCACCCCTTCATCAGCTCACCATAATCAAACAGTAGTCAAGATAGTTTAGAATTTAGCTGAGATTAAAAAAAGCAAGGTTTTTTTATGTGAGGAGAAACAGCATTAAAATCTACAGTACAGGTGTTTGCTACACCCCTATGCCTTAAGCATGTTTGGTTCTGAGTCTATTCAAGATTTACAACCATTTCTCTATACTGCATTCCAATACCAAGGGAAATATACTAGAAACAGATGATAGCACTCAAAAATGCAAAGTGTGAGAGAGAGGGAGAGGGAGAGGGAGAGGGAGCAGAAAAAACTAATCTATCAAAATTGGTTGAGCACCAAGACATTTCATATTTGATGCATTTTAAGCCCAATATGCGCAGACAAGGTAGAAAATACTATGTTTTAAACTCCAGCATCTACAAACAATCAAAAGAAATTGAAAAATGGGAGATTTTATTCTTCACAGATGACACTAACTAAGAATCTGTATAGAAGAATGAGAAACATTATACCAGCACGTGACCAACATATTCACAATACAAACTTAAGGGGATCTGGAAAAGATGTATTAATTTGCTGTTTTACTAGAATCCATTAGGTAATGGCATTCAAATAGAGTTATGATTATTTTAAAAAATAATAATAATAAACATAGTAAGTGGATGGTTCAGGCAATTTATACAACCAACTTGTTGGATGCCAGGTACTATCCCTAGCCTAATGTAACACTCAAAGTAGAGCCACCATAGACAGTCAGCATAAACAAAGCATGTAAATCATCTTACCTGAAGTTCTGCTAATTTATCATGGATTTGCATAGGCCAAAACCCCTATTTGCACCCTCCATTTTTTTTCTTTCGCGGTCTAACACCTTCCAAAATTTTTCCTCCCTATTCACACCTTCCAAAATTTTTCCTCCCTATCCACACCTTCCACTTTTCAAAACCCGTGAAAAATCCAATATTTTAACAGGCCATCACGACACCGTTAAAAAATGCACTACGTGGCACCCAAAAATTGATGTGGCACATGCGGCGTTTTCTTATTCGTCAGGTTCAGATGTGGATCTGCTTTTTGATGATGTGGCTTCTTTTTTGCACACGTGGACGCCACGTGTGCAATGAGAGCAACAAAAAATTATAATATTACCAAACAGTAACATAAATGGCATTTCCTCATTTTTTTTTCTTTCTCCCCTCATCCTCGGCATCATCTTCACCATCCTCCATCTCAATGGGTTCCTCACGAGGAACCTAGATTCTGGGTTCCTCGCGTGGAACCCAGTTTGGGTTCCTGCACAGAACCCAGTTTTTGGGTTCCTGCGAGGAACCCAGTTCTACGTTTCTGCGTGGAACCCAAATCTGGGTTCTGGGTGGGGAACCCAGTTTCTGGGTTTCGACCTTTTTTTTTTCATTTTTTTATTTTGAATGTATTTATCTTAATTTCCTATTTTATGCAAAGCAATTTGGAATAAGTTTTTTGTTGGAAATGTGAGTTTTTTTGCTTGGAGATTGTTTATGAACAGGTTGCCAATTTGAGTTTTTTTTTGTTTTTTGTGGGAAAAGAGTAGAAGATGCTTATCATGTTTTTGTGTAGTATTTGTTTACTTATAATTATGTGGATGAAAATCTTAGCTTGGTAGGCATTTATGTGAAATTAGGTTCCACGAAAAACTCAGAACTTGGGTTTCGCGAGGAACCTAGGAGGATGAGAACGAGGATGGTGAAGATGATGTTGGGAAAGAAGAAAATGAAGAAATTAAAATTAATTATGATTTAATTATAATACATTATATAAAAAAAAGTCCAACATTGGATTAATAAATGTGACATAAAGTCCTAGGTTCCTGGTTCCATGAGGAACCCAGGAGGATGAAGAGGAAGATGGTAAAGATGATGCGGGAAAGAATAAAATGAAGAAATTAAAATTAATTATGGTTTAATTATGTCATATCATCAAAAAAAAAGTCCACATTGGATTAATAAGATGATATAACGTTTATGTTACTGTTTGATGCCACGTATTATAATTTTTAACGGTTATTAACGGTGTCGTAATGGTAGGTTAAAATATTGGATTTTTCACGGATTTTGAAAAGTTGAGGATGTGAATAGGGAGGAAAAATTTTGGAAGGTGTTGACCACGAAAAAGAATTAAATGGAGAATGCAAATAAGGGCTTTGGACATTTGCATATAGCCTAAATGAAGTTTGCCTCCAAAAATTATTTGCTAAACGTCAGTCACCGAAAGGAACAAGAAAAATCAAATCTTTGACCTAGAAACTTAAAAAAAGAAAAAATATATATATTGCAGTAGTATGCATTATAGATTATACAGTTTCCCAAATATTTATTATCTAACAATTGCATGATCTACAAGTACAAAAACAGAAAAAGATGCACATTATGTAGCTGCAAAAGTTATCCTCGTAAAACTGGGCCCAAAAGGCTGCTGTTGACAAGGAGGTATAATAGCCAGGTCAAAAGCTGAAGCACTAGAAACCCCCAACACTAACTTTTTGAAGCCCTTAGAAAGAGGATGAAAGGCTATGATCAAGAAGTAGAAGATAAATCTACCCGTCATAAACACTCAAAAATGCTCCACAAATATCACAAACACGTAGCTTTTGATCAGTCTGAAACAAAATTGGATCAAAAAGGTTAGAGCAGATAGAATATTAACATATAAATGGACTAAAAGAAAATTAAACTAAAAAATCAAATTATGACAGGGGACTGTTCATGGATTAATTATGCAAATTAAATTCATATTTTCCCAATAAGGTCCAATCGTCTCTAAGTTTTCTTATCTAGTTTTTATCATAGTTTTCCTTCTGTGAAACTGGAAAAAAGAAAAACAGAACTCACAAAGCGAACATTGGCAGCAGTATACTTTGAGCAATCCAGAACAGGCTCCTGTCTGGCAGAGAGCTGAACATATATGGAAAAACAATTATCCACAAATAAGGCATACCAAGAAGAAGGAAATGGTGCA